TTTCAAGTCAGTGGATCATAGCTTGCTGGGCTCAGTGGGAGTGGGACTAACTGCTTGGCTCCCTGGCTTCAGTTCCCTTTCCAGGGGACTGAATTGTTCTGTCTTGCTGGCATTCCAGGCACTTTTGGAGTATGAAAAAGAAAACTCCTGTGGCTCAGTTTCGTGCTGGAAACCCTGGGCCCTGGTGTTGTAGCTACTTCAGGGAATCTCCTGGTCTGCTGGTTGCAAAGACCATGGGAAAAGTGCAGTAACTGGGCCAGAGTGCACAGTACAGTCCCTAATGGCTTCCCTTGTCTAGGAGAGTGACTTCCATTTTCTCTTGTGCTTCCTCGGTGAGGCGACTTCCTCCCTCCCTCCCTCCCTCCCTCCCTCCCTCCCTCCCTTCCTTCCTTCCTTCCTTTCTTTCTTCTTTCTTATTTCTGTAAGTGGAACTCACCAGGTGTCTCCCAATACAGAAATGTGCACATTTGTCATAGTCTACCATTTGAATGGCTTTTGTATGTGGGGAAATTTCTACATTTTGAGTAACCCCTTCTCACCCACGTAGAAATCAAACTTAAATTCCTCAGCCTCGTTTGCAGCTAGGATACAGGCATGCTGACTAGATATCCTTGTGCAAGACTAAATTTGGAAGTGAGCAATGTGAATATACAAGCTCTGCATGAGACTTCTGTCCTGTTGGCAGAGCTTTTAGGCACAGGGTGGTTCAAGACCTAATGCAGAAATGGTATCACTGGCATTAGCAGTTTTAGTAAAACCGAATGCTGGTATTTTGGGCTCAAGAGCAGCAGCAGCTGCATTTGGTATCATTTACTAAAATAGGGAGCACCAGTGACAAATTCCTGATTTGGATAGTTTTGTGGCATGTTATGGGCATTGTTTCTGAGAGCTGAGCCTTGAATGTTTCTCCAGCCATCCTAATAATTCTGTGATTTACTTAATGTCTTTTAATAAATCAGTTTTTGCTTAAATCAGCCAGAATTAAAGTTACTGTTTGCAACCACGAACAGTAATTGACACAGGAATTGTCCAACTTCCCCCTCAACCAATAGAATTTATAGAACTCGACTTTTCTTGATCCTTACACATTTTCTTAGTAGGCCACATCATCTGGTACTTAGATTACTTTGGCACTGTCCTATTTCACTACCCACCTCTAGTTTTGACCTTTCTGCTGTAGTAGCCAGAGCAATCTTTCTTTCTAAAATGCAAATCTCAAGCTATCACTCTCAGGTTTAAGGTCTTTCATTGGCTCCCAAATGCCCTCAAGATAAAGTCTAGGATCAAGTCCAAATTCCTTCTTATAGGCTATCAGGATCTATTTCTGGTTGACTTTTCCAGATCATTTTTCCAGCCTGCTTCTCACACCTATGTTGCAATTAGCTTTTTGGCTTACGCTGGACCAGCAGCAATGGGATCCCTTGGGATCCTGTTAGAAATGCAGACTCTGACTTACTGAAGTCAGATTTACTGAATCAAATCAGCATTTTAACAAGATTATTAGGTGATTCATTTGCATATTGAAGTTTGGGTAGTACGGTTTTATAGCAGTGTCCTCTCTTTCCCTCCAGGGCTTTTACTTCCTCTCTTTGAAGAAACTATCTGCTTCCCCTCTTTCCTTGTGCAAGACTAAATTTGGAAGTGAGCAATGTGAATAAGCAAGCTCTGCATGAGACTTCTGTCCTGTTGGCAGAGCTTTCAGGAACAGGGTGGTTCAAGACCTAATGCAGAAATGGTATCAGTGGCAGTAGCAGTTTTAGGAAAACCAAATTACTGGTATTTTGTGCTCAACAGCAGCAGCAGCATTTGGTATCATTTATCATTCTGCTTCCTCTCTTTGAAGGAACTGTCTTCCTCTTCTTTATATGCCTAACACGATTCTGCAGGACTCAGTCCCTTATCCAGGAAAATTTTTTGACTGGTGAAGGATGCAACTACCATTTTACTCCTTTTTCTTTTCTACTAAACTGAAGTTTCCTAACATGATTGTACTTTAGACTTAATCTAAGAATAAATTGCTGGCTGGGTACAGTGGCTCACGCCTGTAGTCCCAGCATTTTGGGAGGCCAACGTGGGTAGATTGCTTGAGGTCAGGAGTTGAAGACCAGCCTGGCCAACATGATAAAACCCCATCTCTACTAAAAATACAATAATTAGCTGGACGTGGTGATGCATGCCTGTAATCCTAGCTACTAGGGAGGCTGAGGCATGAGAATCGCTTGAACCTGGGAGGCAGAGGTTGTAGTGAGCCAAGATTGAATTACTGCACCCCAGTCTGGGCAACAGTGAGACTGTCTGAAGAAACAAACAAAAATACTGATTCCTGGGTCCTGACCCTGGAGATTTTAGTTTTAACTGGTTTGGGTAAGGGGCCTAGAAACTGGTATTTTAAAAGAGCATCCCAGATAATTATGATGTGGAGCCAATTCAGAACCACTGCCTTAGACTTCAAGCTTCTTTAGGACAGGATTGTGTCAGATTTGCTCTTGTTTCCCCAGAGCCTACCACAGTGTCAGGTATGTACACTATACTGGTAAATGACTGTTGCCCCTAATTTCTCAGGGATATGGAACCAGATTTGTATTGTACACAGCATTCTACTTTATACTGTAACCCCTCTCATGCATGTTAGCATCTGAGCAGCCCATCCTTCTCATCAAAGCAAAGAGCCGCTTCTTGAGGAAAGAACTTAGGCTGGCATTAAAATGTGTCTCTAATCACCTTGTGTTTTGTTCTTGAACCAGTTTGATACTGATATAGTGAAGCAGCTTTGTATAATTAGGTGCTAATAGGCACATTGTTTTGAAACGCTGTCTCTGTATACCAGTTCCACAGAGCAAAGCCACTATCTCTTTGTTTGTAATCCTCTTGCATCCTGAGAATTCAAAATAGCGAGAAAGTTGATGAGATCAATGCAACTATAATGAGTAGGTTTTCTAAAAATTAACCAGTTTTCTGGTAAGTTAAAAATACATTTGGGAATAATTTTAATTATACCCAGTTTTCTTACATTTAAAATGACTTTTTTAAAAAAACCCAGTATTTTATATTTATACAGTGCTTTACATATTATAATTGTGAAAACTCAACTTTTATTAAATATCTTTTATTGGTTATCAATTGTGTGTAATGTTATAGAAAAGAAACATTATAATTGATAGGATTATTTCTGTCCCCAAGGAGTTTACAATTTATAGAAAGATGGCAAAAATACCTCAAGGAGCCCCCGAACTAGGTCTCATGAAAAAGCCAATTTAAAGCATACATAGATAGCTGTAAGGAATGACAACATATGGCTTACAAACACCACAAAAATCCATGCTTTCCAGGGCATGTTCCTTGTTGACTATTGTAGCAGGCCTGAGGAGGTAGACAAAAGGCACTCTCTGTAGCTGCTTGATTTCCAAAATCCAAATCTTGTTTCAAAGAATCCTATGTTCCATTCAATAATTTTCTTTCTTAAATCTTGCAGCATAAAACTTCAGTGGGTTTGTCAGGACCTGGGAGACTGTGGGGCAGAAAAAGCACCATCCCCTTCTCATTGCGGCTCCACTCAGAGCCACAGCCTGGTCATCAAGTCACCTCTCCTGTTCCAAAAAAGAAAAAAACAAAACATAACTGTTCAAGCTTAAAAAGCTTGATAATAGGGCCAGCAATTAAAAATTTCATCTACTTAAAGTTTTTTGTCATTCCAAGTAAGAGAGACCAAGCCCCCAATTGCTTAGGGGAGCCCTGATACCATGTCAATTAGCAGGGCTTCTAGGACATCAAACTACTTTTAACTTTCTCTATGACAAGTTAGTCATGAAGATTAATTTTCTTCTTTTTGTAACTCCATGTAATTAATAATATCTTACATTTTGGGGATTTCTGCATAAAAGGCTGTATGCTTGTGGTTTGGGATGGTTTGTACAAAGCATGCTGGTATATTCAGGGACTGAGTGTGGGATGACGATAACCTAAATATTTCCATATTGTATCAGTTAAACTAACTAGATAGTTCAGTTGATTTGGAATAGACAGGACTACCTACTGATTGACATCTATTGATTGATGGATAGATGAACTAAATACAAAGATAATAGGTGAGCGATACTATGCGCTTCTACATAACTTAGGTGCTGTCACTTAGTACACAAATCTTGAAGCATAACTTGAAAAATCAGAGAATACAAATTAATATTGTTATTGCATTTATACAATTAAGTCTAGTACAATAGGTAGATTCTTGAACATTATCTTAGCCCCAAATTTTGGAGATAGCTTACTCTATAAATATTAGAAAAAGACACTTTAGATGCCTTAATAATTAAAACACTAAAGTAGAAGTGTCTTTTTACTTTAACATGAATATAACAAGATGAGTGCCTTGTCATCTCCATGTTAAGTTTTATTCATACCAGTTAAATAATTTAGTTGTTACTAAATAATGAGGGAGCTTTGTCCAAATGTCTGTTTGTTAGAAGATTCTGTGACAGAAAATTCAAATCCATGAATATTATTGATATTTGGCAATTGATATTCCTAGCTTCAAAAATAAAAAGTTTTAGCTGGACATGGTGGTGTGTGCCTGTAGTCTCAGGTACTCCAGAGGCTGAGGCAAGAGGAATGATTGAGTCCAGCAATTTGAGACTGCAGTGAGCCAAGGTCGTACCACTGTACTCCAGCTTGGGTGACAGAGTAAGATCTCGACTCTTAAAACAAAAACAAAAAAAAAACCATCAAAGGTTAGGAATCATATGTACCACTTCAACCCACTAGAATGACTATACTGTAATTAAAAAAAGAAAAATAACAAGTTTTGGCAAGAATGTGGGGAAACTAAAACCTTTATACATTGCTGGAATATAACATGATACAAATTGAAAAGCTTTATGATTTCTCAAAAAGGCAAACATAAAATTACAATTCGAACCGGTAGTTCCACCCTTGGGTATATACCTACAATAACTGAAAACAAGGACTGACACAAATACTTATATACAAATGTTAATAGTAGCTTTATTCACAATAATAGTGGCTTTATTGACAATAGACAAAAGGTGGAAACAACACAACAGATGGCTGGATTTAAAAATTATGGTATATACAATCAAATATAATTTAGCTGTAAAAATGGAATGAAGTTCTGATACCTGTAACAACATGGATGAACCTTGAAAACATTTTGCCGAGTAAAGTAAGTCAGACACAAAAGGGTAAATACTGTATAATTTCATATATGTGATATCTAGAATAGGTAAATTCATAGAGACAGAAAGTAGACTGGAGATTACTAGGGACTGGGGGAGGAGGAATAGGGAGTTACTACTTAATGGGCACAAAGTTTGTCCTTAGAGTGATGAAAAATTTTAGAAATAGATGGTGGTAATGGTTGTACAATGTCATGAATATAATTAATTCCACTGAAATGTTCACTAAAAATGGTGAAAATGGTAAATCTTATGTTACACATATTTTTTCCACAATAAAAAATGAGTAAAAATTGTCACAGGCGGGCGCAGTGGCTCATGCCTATAATCCAAGCACTTTGGGAGGTCAAGGTGGGCGGATCACTTGGGGACAAGAGTTTGAGACCAAGACTGGCCAACACGGTGAAACCCTGTCTCTAGTAAAATTACAAAAAAGTTAGCTGGGCAAGGTGTCATACACCTATAGTCCCAGCTACTTGGGAGGCTGAGGCATGAGAATCACTTGAGCCTGGGAGGTGGTGTTTGCAGTGAACCTAGATTGTGCCACTGCACTCCAGCCTGGGTGACAGAGCAAGACTGTGTCTCAAAAAAAAAAAAAAAAAAAAAAGAATTACATTTGCAACATGATCTTGCAAATTGCTTGGTTTCTTGCAGCCCTTTTATTGCTCAGAGATCTAACTACAGTACAGCCTAGGTATCTCTCTAATACAGGTACTACAGCATACAAAAGCGAAAGGTATATCTCTAGTGGTATAATTGACAGAGTGCATGTTTGTTTAAGAATCTAGAATTTAAACATAGGTTCCTGAATTTAGGGTTTGTGTCCTTTCTGCAGAAGAATCCTCACTAAATGTTGACTCAAACAGAGCAAGAATGGACTTCTTGAAGACCTTTTTGCAGTTCTCCCCAGTAAGTAAGTAAAGTGTGGGAGAAAAGATAGTATTGAAAGAAGTGGTTAGCACTGTAAGTATCAGAGTCAACTCTAAAAGTAGTGACTGGTTCTTAATGAGAATTAAGCCTTGGTATATGTGGTAGGGCATCCAACACACAAAGAAAGAGACAATTGCAGTCATCATAACTTTGAAGGGCTTGCTGGATTTAAACAGGCCCCTCTCTTTCACCTTGCTGGCTACTCTTTCATAACAAAAGATGATGATGAAGAAAGGCAGAAGAAAGCCCAGCAAGAAGCGGCTGATGTAAAAGGCTGCATGAATCCATTGCCTTAATGTTTGCATTTCCTTGCTTTCCCAGTTAGTAGACACAGCATAGTTATTTCGGCAAGTCACCTTTCCTTTATGGTCATGATGTGTCTCTCTGAAAATCAAATAGGGGATGCTGAGGGCAGCCGCTGAGATCCAGACTCCCAGAACGATGCTGGAAGCCCAACGTGGAGTTCGGTGCTTCTGGGACCACACTGGATGAAGAGTGAGTAGGTAACGATCAAGACTGATGGCCGAAAGAAAGAAAACAGAGGTGAACATCCCCAGAGACAAAGTGCTGTTGAAGACCTTGCACAAGGCAGTTCCAAAGTTCCAGTGATCGTCTTGAAGTTGAGAGGTGGCAATAAATGGTATAATCAATGTTGAAATAAAATATGAGAGAATGAGATGAAAAAATAAGAGAGTATTGACAGTCTGTTTCATCTTGTGTCTTAGCACCCATAGATAGAGGCCGTTGGTGATGGTACCAATTATTGTTGAAATGAACAAAGTAATGGCAATAATCATTTTTGATGCAGGGGCTAGAAACTGAGTGCTGTTTCTTACTAAAGTAGAGGCATTGATCAGGTAATCAGTAGAGTTGATCAGATCCATAGTGACCTGTGGAGTGAGAAACAGTGAAAATAACAAGAAAAAGCAAAAGAAAAAGTTAAATGTAAAAATTTGAAAAGTAATTTTTTACATAGTGATAGTTCTAGTCCAAATGATCATATTTTAACAGTGTTAAGCAAAATATTTCTTCAAATCAAATATTTTTCTAAGGTCTACACTTTTACGTTTTCTTTTCTTTTTTTTTTTTGAGACAGAGTTTCGCGCTTGTTACCCAGGCTGGAGTGCAATGGCGCGATCTCGGCTCACTGCAACCTCTGCCTCCTGGCTTCAGGCAATTCTCCTGCCTTAGCCTCCTGAGTAGCTGGGATTACAGGCACGTGCCACCATGCCTAGCTAATTTTTTGTATTTTTAGTAGAGACAGGGTTTCACCTTGTTGACCAGGATGGTCTCGATCTCTTGACCTCGTGATCCACTCACCTCGGCCTCCCAAAGTGCTGGGATTACAGGCATGAGCCACCGTGCCCGGCCCACTTTTATGTTTTCATGAGGAATTAAGACCAGATGAATCTGAGCATCAAAAGTAGAAATATACAGACCAAATAAATGTGAAAAAGAAGTGAAATGTTGTGACATTTTGACAATTGTTCAATAATTAGGTAGATAAAAGTCAATTTTTTTTTCTGAGATAGGGTCTCACTCTGTCACCCAGGCTGGAGTGCAGTGGAGTGATCGCAACTCACTCAGCCTCAACCTCCTGAGCTCAAGGAATCCTCCTCCCTCAGCCTCCCAAGGAGTTGGGACTACAGGTACACACTACCAGGCCCTGCTAAATTTTTTGTCTTTTTTTTTTTGGGGGGGTGGGGGGCAAGGTCTCACTGTGTTGCCCAGGCTGATCTTGAACTTCTGGATTCAAGTGATTCTCCCACTTGGCCTCCCAAAGTGTTGGGATTACAGGTATGAGTCACTTCATGTGGCCAAAAATCTTCTAGTTGGACATTAACCAGAAGTCTGACCCTTTTTGATAGGCAAAACTTCTTGAATAAGGCAATGTAGAATAAGTCTTATTTGACTTGGTGAGGACAAAAGTTGCTAAGTGAAATGAACTTGAATAACAAAAATAATAGCAGTGTTGCAAATTAATAGTCGGGGAGGACTCAAGATGGCGCTGTGAGAACAACCCAGGATTGGAGTTCTCGTTGTGTCTGCGGAGAGGTGAGTCTGAGCTAAATTTCCAGACTGATCTTTGTTGCCCACGGAATGGGGAAATTCCCAAGTGAAGAGGAGACGCGGGACACCAGGCAGATATTCCGCCTGGCGAAGCCGGCAGCCGGGGTGGCGGCGGACAGCCCTACCCAGCGCTCCCCACAGGGCGCGCTTGTCCGGGTGCCCCGTTGAACCGGCAACCGGAGACGTGAGAGGGCTGGACTTGAGACTGAGCTAGACTTGGACAGTGGGCCAGCCCAGGGGATTGCAGGAACAGAGCGTTAGGGTTGGCCCAGTGGGACAAACAAAACCACGATTTCAAACAAGCCCCGTGCAGACGGCCCGAGATGCTCTGAGGGGGAGGGGCGGCCACCATTACCGAGGCAACCCGCCCCAACTGAGATACACGCCCATTGCTGACGCAGCCAGATGTTGCCGAGGTAACCCGTCCCTACTGAGATACACGCCCACTGCTGACGCAGCCTGCCATTGCCGAGGCAACCTGCTACAACAGAGAGACTCCTCCGCAGGGTGTGGCGGAGAACAGCAAAACAGCAGAGCCAGGGCGAGCCTCACAACAGCAGGGCGGAGCCTCGGCAGGCAAACAGTGGCTAGTCTGCGTCCTAGCTGGGCAGGACCTCAACGGACATCCAAAAATAAAGCCCAAACCCCTCAACACAGAGCATTTGAGAAAAAAAAGGGTTTTTTAAATGAGCTCTGTTGCAGCAGAATCAAACATAGCAGCCTAACAGCCCTGAATGAACAACAGAGCTCACAGCTCAGCAATTAAGCCCATATAAAGTACAAACTGTCTCCTCAAGCAGCTCCCTGACCCCTCTATATCCAAAAGACTGACATTAGGCAGGCACCATCCTGGGACAAAGATAGCAGAAAAAGAAACTGGTAGCATCCCTCGCTGTGCCACAGCTGCTAGAGGTGCACCCCAGACAAGCAGGGTCTGGAGTGGACCTCAGCAGTCATACAGCGAAGAAGCGAGACTGGTAGAAGGAAAACCAAGCAACAGAAATACTTCATCATCAACATTCAGGGTGTCCACTCAGAGACCCAATCGAAGAGTCAGCAACTACGCAGACGACCAGCGGACAAATCCACAAAGATGGGAAGAAACCAGCGCAAAAAGGAGGAAAACACCCGAAACCAGAACACCTCGCCTCCTAGAAAAGACCAGAACTCCTCACCAGCAAGGGAACAAAGCTGGACGGAGAATGACTGCGACGAAATGACGGAATTAGACTTCAGAAGATGGATAATGAGAAACTCTTGTGAGCTAAAAGATCATGTATTAAATCAATGCAAAGAAACTAAGAACCTTGAAAAAAGATTTGAAAAAAGATTCGAGTAAATGATAACAAGAATGGATAACTTAGAGAGGAATATGAATGAATTAAAGGAGCTGAGAAACACAATACGAGAACTTCGCGAAGCATGCACAAGTTTCAATAGCCGAATTGACCAAGCAGAAGAAAGAATATCTGAAGTCGAAGACCAACTCAATGAAATAAAACGAGAAACCAAGATTAGAGAAAAAAGCGCAAAAAGGAATGAACAAAGTCTCCAAGAAATGTGGGACTATGTGAAAAGACCTAACCTATGTTTGATAGGTGTACCAGAAGGGGACGAAGAGAATGAATCCAAGCTGGAAAATACTCTTCAGGACATCATCCAGGAAAATTTCCCCCACCTAGCAAGACAGGCCAACACTCAATTGCAGGAAATTCAGAGAACACCAAAAAGATATTCAGCAAGAAGAGCAACCCCAAGGCACATAATCGTCAGATTCAATAGGGTTGAAATAAAGGAGAGAATACTAAGGGCAGCCAGAGAGAAAGGTCGGGTCACCCACAAAGGGAAGCCCATCAGACTAACAGCAGATCTCTCGGCAGAAACACTACAAGCCAGAAGAGAGTGGGGGCCAATATTCAACATTCTTAAAGAAAAGAACTTTCAACCCAGAATTTCATATCTAGCCAAACTGAGCTTCAGAAGTGAAGGAAAAAATAAAATCCTTTGCGAACAAGCAAGTACTCAGAGATTTTGTCACCACCAGGCCTGCTTTACAAGAGCTCCTAAAAAGAGGCACTACACATAGAAAGGAACAACCAGTACCAGCCATTCAAAAGTCACACTGAATGCTAAAGAGCATCAACATAATGAAGAATCTACAACAACTAACAGGCAAAACAGCCACTTAGCATCAAAATGGCAGTATCAAATTCACACATAACAATATTAACCCTAAATGTAAATGGACTAAATGCACCAATCAAAAGACACAGACTGGCAAATTGGATAAAAATCCAAAACCCATCAGTGTGCTGTATCCAGGAAACCCATCTCACATGCAAGGATACACAAAGGCTCAAAATAAAGGGATGGAGGAAGATTTACAAAGCAAATGGACAGCAAAAAAAAGCAGGAGTTGCAATTCTCATCTCTGATAAAATAGACTTTAAAGCAACAAAGATCAAAAGAGACAAAGAAGGCCATTACTTAATGGTAAAAGGATCGATACAACAAGAAGAGCTAACGATCCTAAACATATATGGACCCAATGCAGGAGAACTCAGATACATAAGGCAAGTTCTTAAGGACTTACAAAAGGACTTAGACTCCCACAAAATAATAGTGGGAGACTTTAACACTCCACTGTCAATACTAGACAGATCAACCAGACAAAAAATCAACAAGGATATCCAGGGCTTGAACTCAGACCTGGAGCAAGCAAACCTGATAGACATTTACAGAACTCTCCACCCCAAATCCACAGAATATACATTCTTCTCAGCACCACATCACACCTACTCTAAAATTGACCACATAATTGGAAGTAAAGCACTGCTCAACAAATGCAAAACAACTGAAATCATAACAAACAGCCTCTCAGACCATAGTGCAATCAAGTTAGAACTCAGAATTCAGAAACAGACCCAGAACCGCACAGCTTCATGGAAACTGAACAACTGGCTCTTGAATGTTGACTGGGTAAACAATGAAATGAAGGCAGAAATAAAGAAGTTCTTCGAAACCAATGAGAACGAAGACACAACGTGCCAGAACCTCTGGGACACATTTAAAGCAGTCTCTAGAGGAAAGTATATAGCAATAAGTGCCCATATGAGGAGAACGGAGAGATCCAAAATTGACACCCTATCATCAAAATTGAAAGAGCTAGAGGAGCAAGATCAAAAAAACTCAAAACCCAGCAGAAGACAAGAAATAACTAAGATCAGAGCTGAGCTGAAGGAGATTGAGACACGAAAAACCCTTCAAAAAATCAATAAATCCAAGAGCTGGTTTTTTGAAAAGATCAACAAAATAGACAGACCACTAGCCAGATTGATAAAAATAAAAGAGAGAACAACCAAATAGATGCAATAAAAAATGATAAAGGGGAAATCACCACAGATTCCACAGAAATTCAAACCATTATCAGAGAATATTACAAACAACTCTATGCACATAAACTAGTAAACCTGGAAGAAATGGATAAATTCCTGGACTCCTGTGTCCTCCCAAGCCTAAACCAGGAGGAAGCTGAAACTATGAATAGACCAATAACAAGGTCTGAAGTTGAGGCAGCAATTAAGAGCCTACCACACAAAAAAGCCCAGGTCCAGACGGGTTCACAGCCGAATTCTACCAGACACACAAGGAAGAGCTGGTACCATTTCTTCTAAAACTATTTCAAACAATCCAAAAAGAGGGAATCCTTCCGAAATCATTTTATGAGACCAACATCATTCTGATACGAAAACCCGGCAGAGACCCAACGAGAAAAGAAAACATCAGGCCAATATCCATGATGAACATAGATGCA